TGTCTTACTTGTTTGTTGTGGTTGTCTTTCTTGTTGTAGAATTATTTTTTGTATGTGCCATCCGACATAAATTTGCACTTTCATCACTACAACTTGAACTGTCATCGTCTGATGAATCGCTATCGCTTTCCCACGCAATATAAGCTCTTCTTTGTTTGTTGAACTTCTTTGGTGGAGCTTTTTCTTTATCCTTTTTCATCTTTGGACAGTCTGGTTTGTAGCGTCCAACTTTACCATAATTGTAACAAGGTCCTTTACCTCTTTGCTTTTTATTTTCTTCTTGCCTTGGTTCTTTGGATTGTTTTCGAAAGCTTATGAGATTCTTATCGGAGTGCTTGATTCCATTCTTTCGGATAAATCTATTGTATCTCCGATCAAAGAGTCCCATTTCTTCATCATCAGAATTTTCATCACTAGTTGAGCCATTATCATCTTGCTCTTTGGTTGAGGACTTAGAGCTAGAAGTCATTAGAGATATTGACTTCTTCTCACCCTCCCTGTCTTTGTTCCTTTCTTTCTTACTCTTATTTTCGTATTTTTCAAGACTTTGCAATTCTTGTTGATGTTCTTCCAGCTTTCCAAACAGAGTTGTAATGGTAAGCGTAGTGAGGTCATTTGCTTCCTTGATAGCTGTTACTTTAGGTTGCCATTCCCTGCTAAGACATCTCAGAATTTTATTAGTAGCAATTTCATTGGAAACAGGTTTTCCAAGTGCATTTAAACGACTCACAAGATGTACGAATCTCTTCTGCATGTCAGAGAAAGATTCTCCTTGCTTCATGCGAAAGAGCTCGAACTCTTGATTGAGTGTATTAATGCGGGATTGTTTAACTTCAGTTGTGCCTTCATGGGAAATTTCTAAAGCGTCCCACGTTTCTTTAGCGGACGTGCAGTGAGACACCCTATAATACTCATCAACACCAAGTGCTGAGATCATCATATTTCTGGCTCTCCAATCGCACAACCATTTCTTTTCATCCATTTCATTCCATTGATCCTCGGGTTTAGGTACTATTGCACCTGCATCATTCCTCATGGTAATTTGAAAAGGACCATTTTGAATGGCAGTCCATACATTCCTGTCAATGGAATTTATGTGTACTCGCATGCAGTCTTTCCAGTAGCCATAGTTTTCACCATTGAAAACAGGAGCTCTATTATACGCCCCATTCGGTTCAAAGGCCATAGAGTTACGAGTAGATACAAAGCACCAGCTAACCGGTGCTCTGATACCACTTGTTAGACGGTGTGGCAAGTGATCGAGAGGGGGGTGAATAGATCACCTCTTACTTTTTCAAGGATTTAAAATTATTTTATCAAAGCGAGTTGAAAGCAACGAAAATCAATATCCTGAATCAATTCCATCTACTTTGAACCGACTACTAGAAAACTTGACATGTGAAAACTTTGCTGGATTTTTATTAAATGGAATGGATGAATTTACAACTCAAAAATCTTGACGTTTCAATGCACTTATCATAAAACAGTATTTCCAATGAATTTATAAATTTAATAGGAATTTTGTCAAACACTTGGCGTATGCTTGTATAATAATTTAATAGTGGTGGTTTGGTGAAAATGTTTGAGCCACTATGTTTATCATTAGACTGTAAAACTTAGCACGCCAATTGAATTGCAAAATTATAGAATATGTAAAATTGTAAAGAGAAAGAAAGAGAGAATGATACGCAGGCAGTTTGGTAAGGAAGTTCCCCACTGTCGTCCTCGCGTGTGGGTACATCTCCCTCTCAATTTCACAATCGAAACTGAGAACTTTTATATCAATATGCTGAATGTTTGATAGCAAGGTTACACTACACAGAAAGAAATAAATCCCTATGATCTTCTTCTTCTTGTAAGAACCACCACTTGATATGAGATGTATCAAGATTCCCTGCAAAGTCACTGAATGATCCTCCGCTTCCACGGTCTGTTTGTTCAAAATCCTTCCGATTTCCAAACCCCTCGCTACGGCTGAATCCGACTCGCGTGACCGTGACTGCCAAAACCCTCAAGAACACACCCGTTCTTGAAGGACAAACCCTCTGGTTTATTTCTTGAAGCTTCCTCTTCAACCTTCAACTCAGCTAGACTTCTTCAATACTCAGCTGAACGTTATCTCAAACCGCTTGATTCAATTCAACAAGGATGTTTGATTTTCTTTGTTGTTGTTGAATGTAAGATGGTTGAGAAGATGATGAAGATGAAGGGATGAAAGGCTTCTCGTTTCTGACAATTGTTTTGCACACAATCTTCTATGTTGCTATCTTACTTCTGAAGAAATGCTTGCTTATATTTATAACAGAAAACGGTTAGTAAAAAAAAGTGATATGAGTCGATGCATGTTGGTCATGTATCGACTCATGTTAGTTATATGTAACATGATGAGTCGATACATTAAGTTTTGAATCGATACAAAATCATGTTATAGTGTTTTACAGAACCAACACTTTTATACTCGTCGACACATAATGCGTATGTGTCGATACATACTGATTGTAAATTTAACTTTTGAATTTAAAACATAGTATGAGTCGACACATGATATTATGTATCGATACATATAAGTTTCAAAATGTTTTCCAGAATCATCAGAATGTTTTGTGTCGATACATAATGTGTATGTGTCGATACATACTGATTGTAAATTTAACTTTTGAATTTAAAGCATAGTATGAGTCGACACATGATATTATGTATCGATACATATAAGTTTCAAAATGTTTTCCATGATCATCAGAATGTTTTGTGTCGATACATAAGGTTTTGTGTCGATTCATACAGGTATTACAGGGGCATCAAAATATTATGTGTCGATGCATGAAATTTATGTATCGATGCATGCAGTTTTTGGATTTACATTCCAGGATCATCAAAGAGTTATGAATCGACTCATAAGCTTTTGTATCGATACATAATAGTTTTGAGATACAATTCCAGGGACTTCAGAAAGTTATGTATCGATACAAAACTTGATGTGTCGACTCATAATGATGTATTATGAGAGAAATGTAATTTTGGCTTATTCAAACATGTTATATTATATTTGCAATCATTCAAAATCAATCTATGAAGGGGTTGCTCACATATGTCTTGTGTGACAGTTGCATACATTCATTGCAGCACAACGGCGTCTAGACGATTCCAAAGGTTGGGATCGTTGGCTTTGACGGTGGCTTCCTTAGCACGAGCTTGCTCGTCAATAGGTGGTATGATGTGATCAAGCACATTATGAACACGCACTTGCACGATGAATAGAGTGGACTAAGAGAGATAGAGATCAGAGTCATTATCCAACGTCACTGGTATTATATTTTTGACGTTGGTAATGGCGAAAGCAGAATGAAAATTGGTTTTCACCACAGGAGGGGATTGGTTCATTGGTTTTCATTGATGTGATATCACAAATATATACAATTGTTGCCAATTGCATTTTTAGAAGGAATTGATGTCTCATGAATATAATTACATACAGAAATAATGACAAATCATTTTCTATTAATATGAGGCATCAGTAGAAATAGTAACAAATCATTTTCTATTAATGGAGATATTCTATTATAAATTAGTAATTGCAACTTTATATATTTTATGTTTTTATTTTTTTGTAAAACAATGTTCCTACTCTTTATGATGAGTATTTCGTTCTTCACAAAAAAACAATAATATGATTCATAAAAATGCCAATATGATTAAATTGAACATTTTGCCCCCAAATTCAAATTTAAAATCTCACAAATGATATGGTTAAATTCAAAATTTTGATCTGATTTCTTATTTAAAATCTCACATATGTGATTTTTTAATAATTATTACCGCTTTATTTATAAATAAATAAAGTCTTATTTTATTTTTTAAAAATACATACTAAACTAAGAGTATGTTTAAGTAGGAGTGATAAACATATATGTATGATTCGTTTAATTTCGTCTCGCGAATCCATAAAAAATGGGACGAGACAGATTTTGTTGAGGGAGCGAGTCTAAAATCTTTCTCTATTCCACACAAAAACGAGTGCGGGTCAGGACGAATCCACAGACATTATAGCTTTTAAGCATAAAAATTACAAATTTTTATGTTAAAGCTTGTGTCCTCAAAAGCCTGGAAAAAAAAACGGAATGAAGTAGACGTATTATAGGATGCAGGTCTAAAACCTTGTCACGCCCCATAAAAAATACAGACAAAGTAGACATGTCCAACAGAGCTGACTCATTTTATCATCCCTACGCTCACGCTTGATAAGAGGAGTTTATCCTATAAGTAGAGTTGTCAAATGAGTCGGCTCGAAGGACCAAAGCATATAAAGGGAATGAAGTAGATCGGCCCGATTACTTCATAGACTGCCAAAAATGAGTCCGACTCAATTTCTAATAGGCACAATGGATCAATCAGTCCTTTATTTCAATATTATAGTTTTAATTTTATAAAAATAGTATAATAAATAAAAGCTACATAACATAAAGTAATATTTAAAATATTTATCAAATTGACATCCAGACATACATATATCATAAAGATATCAATGTAAAAGTAGAGAGAAACTTAATATTATCTAGAATATTTATCGAATTTTCTATTCATCTCATAACCTTTTATTTAATCATGTCATCTTGAAAATATATCTTCATTTTCTTTAACTTTTTTTTATTTGAAACACACGTGCAATTATATCTTAACTCAATTTTTTTCTTCAAAATTAAATAAAATTATTTTATAAATTAATTTATAATAGACCAGCCCGAAGGTAGCTTGACCGGCCCAATCTGATCCATAAAAAACATAAGTCCGGTGGACTGGACCAAAAAGATAGAATTGTATATTTTTAGGAAATTTCTTTTTTACTCTAGTGTAAAGAAATACTCTACGCACTTTTTAAAATATCCTTCGAAAATCGAAAATATATTTTCAGTGCACATCCACACATATATAATTCATTCATTTTTAAAATTTACCTTATTTTACAATAAAATTTATTCTGGAAATACACTTCCGAAAATTCCCTAAAATGCAATTGCAGTTATGATATGAATGATAATAATATTTTTAATTACTTGTGATTCAAAGTCTTGGGAAAGAAGAATGTTTGAAGACTTGACATATCTATGTATAACAGGCTTCAAAGCTTCTATGTGTAGGTAATCAAGGGCCTCAGCTATTCCAACAGCTACATTGAATCTCACTTCCCATAACAAAATTGATCCATCTTTGTTCTTTCCTACATCCATTTATAAATTCATATAAGCATCTTTTTCATTTACAGTAATTTAGATCATGGTAAGTGGAAACGGAAAATCAACTTAAATCTTTACCATGTAGATTTTCTTCTATACTGTCTTGGGGGTAATAATCATAATTGGATATTAACGTATTATTGTCCTCAACGAATAAGCATATCATAATCAAGTGCATTTCCAAAAGTGTATTTTTAGAATAAATTTTATCTTAAAATAAAACAAATTTCAAAAACGAATGACAAAAATATATTTCCGATTTTTTTAAAAAACTTTAGCAGCCCGTTTGTCAACTCTACTTATAAGCCATCAAAACTCACTTTTTATGTGGACCCACGTGTCAGATTTAAATTAAGAAATCATGACTTAGAAAATAAATTAGTGTTAAAAGTGTATGTTATTTATAATGCCCGTCTGTTACATTTCTTAGACAAGCTGAATGTAAGGAATTTAATACTAAATGCAATTGAAAAGTATAAAATGAATGGCTCCCACTTGAACTTTTTTCAGGAACCAAGTGGAAATCAAGCTCAATGAGTATAGATGAAGAGTAGACGAGGAGTTGCAGAGATATGAGCCTGTGAGAAAACGACGATTTTCTATTTTATAGGATTTAAAATATAGAAAAATGGCAACAAAACAAAAATTTACAAAACTGAGTAGAGAGGACTAACAGGCCTATTATAAAAACCATTTCAATTACAGCTAAACTTTGTTCTATCTTCTGAATTTTTACTGCCATCAAGGATAATTGAAAAGTTTGGTTTGTTAGCAGATTACTAGCAATCCCATTCTAATTTTGAGTAATAGTTCATTAACAAGGTAAGCTACGAAATTGCATTACTACCAAAACTGAGGCACACCCTGGACAAACAGCATGACTCTCCCAAAACATCCCCCCTCAAAGAAAGCATGAGCTATTAATTGCACTAACAAAGAAAGCATGAGCTATTAATTGCACTACCAAAATTGAGGCATCCCGATCCATAATTAAGTAATGTCTGAGGTAAACAAGAGCATCCAGAGTCATCAATTCCTTATCACAATAAAGCAAATAAAAGACAGGTAGAAGATTCACCTTCCCTGTCCTGCATAAGAGCTCTACCCTTCACATTTCCTTATTCAGAAAAATCATTGTGATAATTAGAATCAAGACGTTTCTTCATCTCTGGTTGACTGGTTGGAGCCGGAGGGCTACCCTTCTTTCTCTTGCGATTGTTCAACAAGGATGAAGCATCGTCTATCATTTCCCCTTCTTCTGCATTGCATCCATTCCTGTCTTTCCGTAATTTCTCTTTCAAGCCCATCTGACTCCCATCTCTAGTTTCCTCAAGGTCCTCGCTGTGATCTTCACCATCAGGCTTAGACCAGCTCTGACTCCTCTCTCGCTTATTTTTCTCATTCTCAACTGCTAGCTCAACTCCATCTTCAAGCTCTTTCTCAATGAGATCATCCTCATCCATTATATCTTTCTTTTTTGTCATTTCACTGCGTACCTTTTTCATTTTTTCAAACGCAGCCTTTACCTTGTCTTTGTCAATCACCTTCTTTGTCATTTCAACTCCATTTTCAAGCTCCCTCTCAATAAGAGCATCCTCATCCATTGCATCTTCCTTTATTGTCATCTCACCTCGTTCCTTTCTCCTTTTTTCTATAGCGGCCTTAACCTTGTCTGTGTCAATCATCTTGATTGCTTCTTTGGGTGAAAGTGGGCCTTCCCGAAGCTCCGGATTTCGACCAACGTTAAAGCTAGACTTGTATGATGTATCATCACTCCTTCCTAATTCTGCAGCCTCCTCTGTACCAACCATTTTATCTTGGTCTCCAGAAACTACTCGTTCAGCTCCAGAGATAGAACTATTTGCCACTTCTCTCTGGTTATCTTTCTCGGGCAACTTTTCTGAAGTCTGAGAATCCCTGGTTTCCAAGTCTATCTTGTGATCAGTAATGTCACTACCCATTTCTGCACTACCATCATTGCTTTGGTTTTCTGTTCCTGTAAGTGGTGCTGCATCATTTTCCACAGATGTGCGCTGAGGAGCTGAATGAGATGCAATTTGTTTTGAAGCCTGCTCCTCACTCGTCGCAGGAGCCTTTGAGGAAGCTCTCATCCCCCCTGCAGTAGCCCCTTCTGCTTCATTTCCTTGTGATTGTGGAATTCTATTCTGCTCGTAGAGTTCCAACATTTGATTGCTAACTTCTGCAAGAGAAAAACAACATGGACTCAGAAGGATATACAAAAGCATTCAGAGAGAAAAACAAAAGGATAACCCCTTGGTTAAATAAGAGCAAACTACCCATGGCATAAAAGTGGGTCTGTACTATAATGAAAATGCTTAACTTATCTAAAAACAGGAATAAAACATTATATAGCGACAGTACAAGAGATTATTATACTGCATTAAGCCACAAAAACATGCAAGACGGTTCAATTGGATCAACTTTCTTAGTATGCAAATGAATTGAGGGGATGACACCCACCCTCCAATTGGCGTGGGGTGACATCAAACTCCTGCCACCAAACCTTCTCACCATCCGACGGAAGCTTCACTTTCAGGAACTTGGCAGCAAGGAAAATGGCACCTGCCGCAATATGATGTGGCTTAAATTGCAGGCAGAGTGATGTCCTCAGCCTGAAAGCCACTTTCCAGTGTGTGAACAAAAAAACTATTAAAATGTATCCAACAAAGTTAAAAATTAGAATGAGTGGAAACTGGATTCATACCCATCATTAACAAAATTCCATGCAACTTGTGCAAGGGCATTCTTTGCAACATTGAACTTCTTTATGGCCTCGACAAGGGGCTTGTATGGATGTTGGACATTCAAGTCAAAACCTAAAGTGGCAAGTACAACCCTCTCTCCAAGTAAAATTAATTCTTTCTGCTGCTCATATATTTCCTGCATCATTTACATATTCAATTTAACAAACATATATAATATGGTCGTGGAAACAAGAACGAAACACAAAGCAGGGTTAATAAAGGAGCGTCCAAAATCTAACAGGGAGATACTTAAAATATATGGCAGTTTGAGTTCATTGGATGGAATCAGAGCAATTATCCAATAAAATGGTGTCTTGGGAAAAATGTTTGCTAAATGACAAAATTCCATCCAACCAATTCTATTATTAATAGTAAATTTTCGAATATAATCTGACCAAATTTTCGAATATAATCTGACCAAATTTTCGAATTTGGCGGTCTAAATTACAAGCAAATTGCAACTAGTTCTGCCCTATTTAATGATACCATAGAAAAGGAATGCTGAAGGCAATAGCGGTAGCAATAAGATCTAAGATAAATCAAGAAATTGGGATGTCTATACATAGAAAAGATTTATGAAAACACCAGCAGTAATAAAACACCTTCTGTTTTATCTTGTGTGCAGCTTCCGGGTCCTTCTTGTGAATCATCTCATAAGAAGTGAGAATAACATCCTTAAGAGGACGAGGAGTCTCCTCAACCTTTCCAGCCAAAAACATGCAAACTGTGGCAATTGTCTGCAAAAATATATGCATCACAATCAGATTATGAGATTTCAATTAAATACACTTTAAGTTTATACTGCTTTTAAATCTATCAATATCATTATCTTAATATAAACTTGGAACATAACCACAATCAACTTCCACAAATACTTGAACCAAGCCTTATCCCAATAAGTAGGGTTGGCTGCATGGTTCAGGCTATACACCATAATGTTCTATCAAAAACCATGTTTCTATCCAACTTATTAATCTCACGATCTTTCTTAATAATCTCTATTATAGTTTTTCTAGGTATTCCTGTACCTCTAGTGGTTTGATTACCCTTCATTTGATCTTCTCTTCTTACAACATAATCTATAAATCTTCTCCCTACATGACCAAACCACCAAAGCCTAGCTTCCATTCCACCATCCTTTCTGCTGTAGGTGTTACCCCAACTCTCTCTCTAATGATGTCATTTCTAATTCTACCATATCTAGTCTTGCCACACATCCAATGCAACATTCTCATCTCTGCTACGCTACACTTAGTTAAGAAAAAGGAACGAACTCAACATAAAAACATTATGCAAAAGAAACGAGAAATCTATGATTAGAAATCCCTATTGAAGAAAAACAAATGGCAGTCAGTATGACCATTTTCGAAAAATTTCTTTAACGATTTTTTAGAATATAAATGCAAACAAAAAAATCAATATTGAGATAGTAGAATACATAAATGCAAGAAATACCAAATAGAGCTTTGCAAGAATAAGTAGGATTAATGTTTTGGCATATTTTAAACAACTAAAACTGTAATTAGCATATACATTAACACAAATCTCAAAAATCTTTCGGATATAACTTTACTCATCAACCCAAAAGCTAGCTCAAGGTATGAGTTTGAGATAGCCCGGGCCTCTTAAAGACTACTTTGGCCATATCTCTAGTTGATGTGGGGTTTCATACACATTCTCAGAACTACTTTGACCATCTCTAGAAATCGAGACACAATTTCTAGGTGATCATATCACAAGTCAATTAAAAGACTAATGTGTTGAACTTTCATTTGCTAGAAAAACTCCAAAACCAAACAGGCATTTTTCAGTTGAAAAAGCCAATATGGAAAAACAAAAAACATCCACCATATATCTGCCAACACAGCATTACCAAGCATTGAAAATTAAATTATAAACAACTCACATAAAAGTAATATTATGATAATTATTGTGTTTGTTGCACTTATTGTATGTAGTTCTCCACAATGGTAATCGAACAAACATGCTATACTAAATCAAAATGCAACTCACAAAAAATCAGAGGAGGTAAAATGCCTACAAAATATCTATTTGAAAGCATAACAACCCACCCTTCTGTCGTTCTTTGCATGAGATTGTCTAAGAAAGAATCGATGACAGAATATTACGGCTGTTGCTATAGTTACTTGAGGCCTGCAGGGTATGAAGTTACCGTCAATATGCAAACCTCCAATTGACTTTCAAGATTACGAAATAAATATTTATGGCATAATGACAAAACCCAAGTACATATAAAAGTAAATTGGCATTCATCTTGCAAAGACTAAAAATATTATTTTGGTAAACCAAAGACTGCAAATATAAACATAATATTAGATCAGAAGTACAATGCACAATAGGATAAATGGCAATCAAATTGCAAAAAAATAAGTTATCATAAACTCAGGGCTACAAAATTGCATAGTTGGCATACCATTAAGATACATAGTCGTATGGACATGAGACGAAATTTAAAAACATTAAGATGAAATGAAGCATACAACCCCTCAAAGCAATTTGAAACACATAATAAGTATGTAACTCTGGAAAATAATAATTAAATACTTATAGTAATTACAATTGCATAAAACTCACACTTTAAGTCGCATGCCCAAATCTTGTAAGAATGTGCAATATGACTTGCGCAGATATGTCTCTTTCTTCAGGTCGATTCCATCCTTTCTTGATGGGGCATTTTCTTCCATGTCTTTTCGAGACATATACCAGTGACCCAGTGCTTCCTGTTGCTTGTCTAAAGAACCTTTACAAGGGTTTTCACCAGATGCTTCATGATGTGCTGCCATGTGTGTAAGTTACACTGTTGACTGAGTTAATTCTGTATCACTTGCTCAGCATCAACTAGCAGAAAGATTCTGGAGAATATTTATAAAATAACAATGAATACCACTGACCAAGAATTTGATAAAGGAAAAGAAAGAGCCACTACCCAGATTAATTATTTAAAAAAATAATAAAATAAATAAATTTTCCATTTGGATGGTTACCCCCAAAAAGCGTTCAATAGCTCCGATAGGGTTTCAATAAACAAACAAATCGAAAAAGATGAATTCATAGAGAACCAATTGAAATTGCAATGCATGTATATATGTATAGATAAAACGATAGCTAGATCGATAAAACGCATCGATGAAACGAGAAAGAAAAACGCAACAAGATGAGATAAAAGAAAAACGAAATCGAAGGGGAAAAAACATTACCGAAAAGGTGGAGAAGAAAACCTCGTCAATTGCAAGGTTCGTCTTCGTTGTCGATTATTTGTGGGATTTGCAAGATGCAGCAAAGCTCCACGATCGTTCGAATGCCCTCGCTATCGCTACCACGTTATTTGTGTTTCGGTTTTTGTTTTTCCTTTTTCACTGTCCACCCAGTTCGTAGTACCCGAAATTACTATTTTATTTAATACTATTAATATTTTTATATATCACCGCGTCCTCTATTGTTATTAGATTTTTCTTTTTTTTGGTAAATTATTAGTAGTTTTTTTCTTTTGAAGAAATCGGTTATCGATTTTTTTTTTAAGTAAATTATTAGTTCAATAAAATCACCGAAGCAATAATTAGATTTTGCATTATCATTTCATCATGATCAGATTGCATGATTTTTGGAAGGAAAAAAATTGCTCCGATATATTTTCCAACTTTTTTTTCAATATATAATATAAAAAATTAGATATTAGTGTAAAATAAATTTATAATTTTGATTTTTAATTTATTATTTTAAGAGTTTTATTATTATACATTATCAGTGTAAAAATCACAATCACTCAATATTTTCGGTCACTTTCTTGCATTCACTTTCTTTGTACCTACTTCTTTCTTCCTCTTCGTTTTCTTATCTCCCTTTTCTTTTGTCTCTTCTCTTTCTCCTTTTTTTACATCACTCTTTTTTCTTTTTCTATTCTCTTTTCTATTTTCTCTTTTCTATTTTTTATAAAAGAAATCATTTTTCTTTTTTTCTCCATGTAAATCATGAGCAACATATCTCACACACACCTCTTTTGCAAACAAAAATCAAAACACATGGATCAAAGTGAAATCAAGAAGGAGAAAATGAGTACCAATTGGAATTAGGGAGACGGTGGCTATTGCATTTTCGACGGTTTTATGATGATGTGTGGTTTCGTGATGGTAGATATGTGGTGTCGGCAAAACGTTTCTGGCGATGAATGGAAAATATTGGTAAATTTTGTTGCTTTTTAGATATTAAAGTGAACGAACTTTACTTATACTTTGTTAATTACTGTTTTTTGAATAAAATTGTTTCCATAAGAACGTGGAATAGATCTTGAAGCTATTGGATTTGGAAATCAATTGAAGAAAATGAGTTTTCTTGAGTTTGGATATGTGTTGTTGATTATTCTATTAACTTTTCTGATTTATATGAAAGGTGAGATTTATATAGTAACCTATTATCAGCGAACCTTTTACTATTGTGTGATTAACTCAGCATCAGAACCTAGTGTGGTCATTTGGCTTAGACACTGTTGTGAAGGGGTTAAATTTTGATTATGAACACTACTACAAAAAAAACTCATTTATCAACAATTGGAAAATACATATAGTCATGCAAGTCCAAATATTGTTATGTATAGTGTTATTGTAAATGTGTTACTTACACTACAAAAAAACTTGTCTTCTAACGGCAGCATAGTGTGGCAGTTGGTTCAAAACCGCCCCCATAATACACTAACTACGGCAGTTAGTTCAAAACCGCCCTCATGAAATACTAATTGCGGCATTCATGAAAAATATTATAAACTAAAATAATTAAAAATATTAAAAACTAAATTAAAAGAAAGAAAACAGGTTGAATGAAAGAGAAAAGAGGCGAAAGAGAAAAGAAATGGGAGAAAGAATTAAAAGAAAAGGGTTTGTAAATAAAAGGGTTTGCAAAGAAAAAAGTTTAAAGAACGAAAACGATGAAGATGAACGAAACTCTAAATCTATTGTGTATCAATTAACCATGACGACCATCATTGTCCTTCCAGGTGTTCTTATCATTCTCTTTGTTTCAATCAAGAAACCCAACAAGAACCCTTTTTCACCTTCCCGTTTCTCTACATCAAAGAGAGGAAAGCTCTTGGACGCCATTTCTCACACTTATATCGTCCACCTTGCTTGAGGTTTCAATTCTAAACCCCCCCCTTTTACTTTTCTTTTGATATGAAAGTGCAACGTTGAAAATCAAATTAGATTTTTTTCATGTTTTTTTACTTTGATTTTTGAATATATTACTTTATTTTTACATAAATAGAAGTTTCTTTGAGTGTAGTTTCTTTGGACAGATCAAGTGGGAGTAACACTAATATTATTGATGGTATGTGTTGATTCCATTCAATGATGTATAGAAATTTTAATTTCCATTAAAATAAGCTTTTGTTTTATGCAATGATGTGATTTTTTAGTTTTTATGCCATGTATCATGTTAAAATATCACATTTACCAACAATATTGTAGTAGAGTGAATTAGTGTTTGAAAGCATCAAAACTTTTGTGATGTAATTTTTAATTTTTTAAATAAAGAAATCCAAATACTCCATCGACACGTATTGACAGTGTATCGACAGGGTATAAAAGTGTATCAGATACCATACAATATAGATTTTAGAATATTCGTGCTTCATTGTTTAATCTAATAAGCATGTGATTATTTACATTTCTAAAATTCTTACTTTGACATGTGTTTTCATGGTTTTCAATAACATTGAGAGACAATGAAGTAGTAACTCTTAATTTTGTTGTTAAATATTTGTACAATGAAATTGTGTATTATTTAGAATACTCGAAGAAAAGCAGTTGGTCTTGAATTTGTTACAGCAAACAAGGTTTTTTTTTCTACACTTATTAAGGCATTTGTCTTTTAATTCAATATTCCAAACCACATGGCCATGGATAATATAGTTTTGTCTGAAAATGTTCATTATGTTCACTAATTTTAAGCATGTACGGTAGTCCACCTTCAAAGACGGTTTTGGTCTACATAGTTTGGTAAACTGGTTTGGCTTCTGACTTAAAAACATGAATCTACATAGTTTGGTGAACTAGCTTGGCTTCTGACTTAAAAACATAAGTGAAACACGCCATTTTGTGTTGATTTGAATTGCATGATACCTAACATATAAGATAGACCGTGTTTGGAAGTCATGAAAATGGTAATGTGTCTTTACAGCCTAAGTTTGTTTGTGGACCTATTAACTATATACAAATTGTTATCTATAAGAAAGGACAATATTTGTTAATCTAAATTGGTGGCCCTCAACAAAGAAAACCAATTCTATTATCACAGGGTCACTATAAAACCAAACACAACTTATTAATTCCTATGCAGGTGTTGGCTAGGATTTTTCACATAGATTAAAAACCAACCAAAAGTCAAAAAGGTGCTTTGAAAACTTTGAATTATGAGAAGTCGACCACAAAAGCAGTCGATCGGGAGAGATTTCATAAGTAGTCAATTGGGCTTGTGGACGCAATCGACCAAAAAGAGGCCTCATGAGGAATGGACTGGGCCCAAGAACGTTAAAAATCCCAAAGAGTGCATAACTAGCAAAGCAAAGTGTTATGAATAGAGAACATGAGTTCGATAGCAGGAATGGAGAACGTGGGATAATGGAAAGAAGTTACCAGAGACACTTGGCGTACAAGGAAGCGAAGCCCGCCAGAAAGTAGTTAGTTTTCATGTATTATAAATAAATCACTCAGTGCATAGTATAAGGGGTTCAAACTTTCACATTCCTATACGCTAGTCACCCAGAGTACCCAAGCGAACGAGCAAAATGAGTCAAGCTAAGGCAATGTACGTTTGAATCAACCTATTTTCAACTATTTTGATGTTATGTCATATATATTTACAAATTAAAACGTATTTTGATTTATTTTACAAGTCTTTCTTTATTGCTTATAAACTCGTTTGGCACTAGTCGAATGAATCTTTTTGAACATACTTTGTGAAAACACTCGAAAACTAAAGACAAAACTGAGATTCCCTGGTCGATTTCGCCAGTAAACTTTTTGTCAAGAGACCATTATTTTTTCCAAAACCAGAGATAAACAAATTGGCACATCCGGTGGGACCGTGCTAATAATTCAGTATTTGTGTTTGGTTTTGCAAAGTTTCTTGTAGTTTAGTTGGTGTGTGTATGAATTTAAGAAGTGGTAAACATTTGCCGAAGTCTAAAATGCCACGCTCTGATACAAACACTGCACATACACATATTTCTACAAAAAATGTGGATGTCATACCAATGAGTGTCATAACTCAAAGCGCGGCGGTTTTGTATCCTATGAGATCAACCGTTGTTCACGGTTCAGTGACAACAGTCACGATGAAAAAACCTAGGCATGGGATATCACCATTCGACCTAAATTGACCACTCTTTCTAGGGGGTCCAAGGTCATCATTTGTCCCGTATCAATATGGTATACCTTATTCTATGATGGTTAGGTTACAGTCGAACTTGTCCACATATACAGAAAATGCAGTGGCCATTGGAAACCAAGGCAGTTATGTCCCAGGTGGTGTTGGTTATATCCCTCAGTCGACACCATCTTTAAATACTACTTCTGCCATGGCTTTAAGACAACAGATGGATGAGAGTAATTTCGAGTTAGTAAATGTCTTAACTCAACAAATGAGAGTTGCTCTCATTCCCGTGGTTAACCAAATACGCAGATTGACCGACTCATTAGGGGTCCAACCAACACAAATGCGCTACAAGCCATTAAGAGTTTTTGAAGAATTAGAGGAAGGCAACAACGAGCGTCCTTTTAGACCTCGAAGAGTGGAAATACCCACTTATGAAGAGGAAGAATTAGTTTAACAATACAAACCTAGGCCGATCGTAGTTAAAAGGAACTGAGATGTTTATCGAGTGTTAAGAAATGCCATTGTTGGGCATAATAACATAGTGAATGTAGTAGAATAGGTGTTAACACAATCTAGGGTAAATGTTGGCCTTCGGAGGCCTAATTATTCGTCTCCCTTGCCTGATTATATTCGACAGACATAATTACCTAGGGGGTGTAAGGTACCTAAATTTACCAACTTTGCTTGTGATGCCAATGAGTCGACCATTGAATACATCGCCAGCTACAAAACAGAAGCTGGCGATATCACCAATGATGAGGGTTTAAAATTAAGATATTTTCCTAATTCATTGACCAAAAATGCTTTTACTTGGTTTACGACATTGACTCCAAATTTGATACGCACTTGGGAACAACTCGAGAGTATATTTTATGAGCAATTTTATGTTGGTCAGCCTAAGATAAGTTTGAAAGAGTTATCCTCAATCAAGAGGAGGTCGTCTGAGTCAATGTAGGATTATTTGAATAAGTTTAGGGTCCTAAAATCTAGGTGTTTTACTAGTATTCCTAGACATGAGCTGGTCGAAATGACCGCTTGAGGCTTAGATTATTCTATTAGGAAGAAGTTTGATCCTTATTTATTACAGATATGTCTCAACTAGCTGATAAGGTTCAATATGTCGAACGTTTGGAAACAGAGAAAGCTGGAGTTTCAATGGATCATAGAAAAGGCAAAGTGGCCTATGTAGACACGGAAGGTTATTGTTGTACCCCAAAATTTTCCCTCCCTTTTTCTTCTCAAGACATTCTTTCAAGGCTTCTCAGATATCCAAGACACTCAAGGGTTAACCGGTCAATGCTCCTCTTAAGCTAAAGATCCACAACAAGGGTTCTGAGTTTCTCAAGGAAATTTGGGTTGCAAAAGTCTCAAGTGGATTCCATGGTTCCCAATAGGTCCTCAATAAGGTTTATTTCAAGTTTAAAATCCTACATCACAAGTTTGCTCAGTCAATGACTCAGATGATTGAAAATCAACTGTATTGATCAAAAAGTCAACTATGGTCAACATACAATCAAACTTCAAGATTTTTTGTCAACATAAATATTTTGAAGTAATATTCATAATTTGATCAAGGGTTGATCATGATTCCCAAAGAAAAGCTCTCAAATCATCAAAAGTCAAGAATTGTCAAATTAGGGTTTTCTTAGGAGAAGTTAACCGAATTTTGACCAGACATAACTTTCACATACTTCATTAACTTTTCCCCAAACGAAGCTTATTTTGAAGAAAATTCAATTCCCTACAACTTTTTTATGCTCAAGTCCAAAAAATGCTTCATTTGAAATATATGAGCTAAAACATTATAAGTCATTTTCAAAAATCAACAAAAGACACTTTTTGTCAAGGCAACTTACATCAAGATAAAGTCTTCAAAAACAAAAATAATCAACATAGAGATTGTAGAGGACATCCTGAGCTTTCTAGAAAGTCCAAGATCATCTTCAAAAGTTGAAATTTGAGCAAGTTATGAGTTGCACAAGTTGGGAGATTTTGAAGAAATTCATGAAATGCAAATTGAGCAAAATCAATTTTGAACTAATTGACCTATTTTTTTATATTCAAACATGTTTATAAGATGTGGTAGGACCTCTAAAAAACATTCACACCTGCTCATGATTTTTATTGATTTTATTTGATTTTTTATTCATTTAAAAATGGATAAAATTGAATAAAAAGATGAAAATAGAGTGTGAAGACTTGGGCCTTTGGATTTCAAACCTTTTGCAAGCCCAACAAACTCATGCAAGCCAGCAATGTGTCTAAGTTCATGCTAAAAACGAAAATGGCAAGGGTATGACAAGTTTGGAAACAAATTAAGGTGTTTGATATTGGTTTGAAAAAGGCTTTTATGACTTGATTCATTACCATATATATCTACCTCTTTCACTTCCCTATAAATACTCAAGCAATGAAAGCTCAAAAAGACCACTAAAATCCTTGCATACAAGAGCCCTCTCAAAATTCTCAAAAATCAAAGAAAAGTTTCAAAATCTGTAACTTCACTTTCAGGCACTATCAATCTAAATCAAGGCCATCAATACACTCCTGAGACCTCCAGGAGTCATACCCAGTCCTCACATAGGCCTGAAGCACGCCAAAACCCCTCCTCCCATTCACGTCGGTTGGTAAGTATGGTGAAGATTAGAAACTTTAATGTCATGCATTATTAACCATTGCTGACATGATTAATTTGTTCATATGCATCATTGGAATGTATTTGACG